GCACAAAAGTGATGCTTCAAATCTTGCAGAAGCTTTCAGCATCATTTCACCAGTTAAAACCCCCACATGTCTAAATTTAGCTCAGAAGGTTTGAATGCAAACATTCTGGGACATTTTATCAGACTTGGAAGACATAGATTTTCAAATGTGCAGGTGGGTATATCTGTATTTCTCTCTGTAGGAATATGTCTGCAATTAAATAATCTATCCCCAGCACTTCAAGTTATAATTGATGATAGTCCTTTGCATTGCTAAGAATTTGTGATTGACCCAATTAAATAACTGAATTTGATTGAATGCATATTTGAACATGGATCTCCATAGTGTCCCATGTGTCAAATGAATGATAAATTTTAAGGTAATTAAGAGATTATTCTAGTATTGAGGCATGTTGGTTTTTTCATTGTAATATTTACTTTTTTCTTTTTTTACATTATCTCTAAACATTTTATAAACAATGCTACACTTTTCTTTGAATCTTACAGACAAAGAATATGGCAATAAGAACATTTAGGACAACTGCAAATAAAAAGCAACATTGAAAAGGAAAATGAATCAAGCCAGAAATCAAAATATTTTCTGTTTCCTTCAGAAAACCACACAATTCTCCTCCCCCTCCCCCCCCTCCTCCTCCTCCTCCTCCTCAAGAAGTTGTTAGAGAAAAAACAGAAAATTTAAAAACATTTCAAGCCAGAATAAGCAGATTATGCACAATTCAAGGATACATTACATGAAATGTCAAGGGCGATTATTTTTCATTCAGCATATCTGAAAGTCAGTTGGAAGAAAAGGTGAATAGTAAAGCCATGTGGAGCAGACAGGAATATAGGTCTCTCCCTATGAGGAAGAAAATGGCTTGAATGAAAGCACCACTAAACAAGGCATTGTCACAATTCCAGTCTAGTGATACATCAGTGGATTGACTCCAGGGAGAAACTATGGGTGTCTAGATAGTGGGAAAAGCTTCATTAGAAATTTTCATCTCATGATACACCAAAGAATTCACACAGAAGAGAAACCCTTTTAATGTCCTGATTATGGGAAAGTCAGAATTCCAGTCTGGTGATATAACCAGAAGATTCTCATAGGAGAGAAATGCTTTGAAAGTCCTGATTGTTGCAAAACTTTCAATTGTAATTCCAATTTGGTGATACATCGGAGGAATCAAAAGGAGAAAACCCTTTCAATATCCTGACTGTTGGAGAATTTCCAGTCATAATTCATTACAAATTCCCACCTCTTGAGAAATGAGCATGTACACAGGACAGAAACCCTTTGAATGTCCTGACTGCGGGAAAAGTTTTAGACAGAATTCCAGCCTGGTGATACACCAGAGGACTCACACAGGAGAGAAACCCTACAAATGTCCTGACTGTGGGAAAAGTTTCAGTAATAATTCAAGCCTGATGAAACATCACAGGACTCACACAGGAGAGAAACCCTTTGAATGTCCTGACTGTGGGAAAAGGTTCAATAATAATTCGAACCTTGTGAAACACCAGAGGATTCACACAGGAGAGAAGCCCTTTGAATGTCCCGACTGTGGGAAAAGTTTTGGACAGAATTCCCACCTGATGATGCACCAGTGCACTCACACAGGAGAGAAACCCTACAAATGTTCTATTTGTGGGAAACGTTTCAGTAATAATTCGAGCCTTGTAATACACCAGAGGACTCACACAGGAGAGAAACCCTTTGAATGTCCTATCTGTGGGAAAGGTTTTAATCGCAATTTCCAACTGGTGATACACCAGAGGACTCACACAGGAGAGAAGCCCTTTGAATGTCCTATTTGTGGGAAAAGTTTTAATCACAATTTCCAACTGGCGTTACACCAGAGGACTCACACAGGAGAGAAACTCTTTGAATGTTCTATTTGTGGGAAAAGTTTTACTGATAATTCGAGCCTTGTGAAACACCAGAGGACTCACACAGGAGAGAAACCCTTTGAATGTCCCGACTGTGGGAAAAGTTTCAGACAGAATTCCCACCTGGTGATGCACCAGAGGACTCACACAGGAGAGAAACCCTACAAATGTCCTGACTGTGGGAAAAGTTTCAGACAGAATTCCAGCCTGGTGATACACCAGAGGACTCACACAGGAGAAAAACCCTTTGAATGTCCTATTTGTGGGAAAAGTTTTACTCGCAATTCCCACCTGGTGATACACAAGAGGACTCACACAGGAGAGAAACCATTTCAATGTGCAGACTGTGGAAAACGTTTTAGTCAGAATTCCCACCTCATGATACACCAGAGGACTCACACAAGAGATAAACCCTTTTGAATGTCCTGATTGTGGGAAAAGTTTCAATAGGAATTCCTATTTGTTAATACACCAGAAGACTCACACAGTGGGAAAACCTTTCAAATTTCCAGTCTGTGGACTTTACTTCAAGCATAAATCATCCCTTAGTACACACAAGGAAATCCACATGAGGCAAAAGGTGCAGAGTTTAGAGAAGGATTGAATTTCATTTGTGATCTCCCATTCACAAAGTGTAGGTGAGAAAAAAATATATTAACACTAAGTACATATATACATATATGTAAAAAAGATCAGAGATAAATCTATATAATTATAGTCTATGTACTGTGCTCTATATTCCATAGCCATTAGAGGAGATAAGGTATACATTTTTAGCTATACAATATAAGTATTACTTCATAATACTTTTATTTCTTTTTTTGACCTATATCATGTTTTATGTCTACCTATTCATACCAAATGTTCCAGATTGAATAATATTCTGAGTCTATAATGTTTCTTCCTAATTTTTTCCCAGGTGTTTATCAACGAATCTCATAAAACGTGCCTGTAAAAGTAGGAGTGTGATATTTTGATCCTCAAGCAAATTCCAAGATAAGTAAGGGAAATAAGACGAGATTACAAATTCCTAGCCAGTTATCTAAATCAGAAAGGAATTCCATTCAAATGGTTAATCCCGGAGGGGATGTTAGTAACATGGAAAGAGAAAAATTAAAATAGATTCTATGGAACGGGCACAAGACTTTTATGAACAGCTAGTAGGCATGGAAGATCAAAATAGCAAGGAGGAACCAAAAAGAAATTCGTAGGAAGACCGGTCGCCATAGAAATAACAAAGAAGGATCCCCCCAAACCCAAGGGAATGACTATCCACATCTGGAGAGAGAAGAACCTATTCCACAACAACCACAAGGAGAGAGCCGAATTATCACGAGACAAAAAGCAAAACAGATTTAACTAAATGGATGAAGAAAAGAAACTTCTGTCCATCAATATAAATGGTTTAAGTTCGACAACTAAAAGGAAAAGGATAATAGCTAAATTAATTAAACAAAACACCGACATAATATGTTTACAAGAAACTCATATAAGGAAAATTGATGAAAGATATTTAGATTGCCCTAAACTAGGGAAATTATTCACGGCACCAGCAGATAAAAAAAGAAAGGAATTGCAATATATGTGAAAGATGACTTAAAAGCAGATCTAATTTGGTCAGACCTGGAAGGAAGAACTCTGGTTTTACAGATCTCGATTAATACTATTTCATTTTTCTTGGTAGCAATTTGTGCTCCAGATGAAGACCAGAAAAAGTTTTTTAAATATTTACACCAAAAAAAATAGGATTTGAAAAAAGGAACATCTGTATGATAGGTGATTTTAATTCTATTGCTGATTACCCAAAAGACCACAGTAATGTGAGCAAGAACAAAACAGGAAAAAAAGAGTTTCCCAAAACATGTAAGGAAATGATGAAAGAATTAAATTTGGTGGATTTATGGAGAAGATTAAACCCAGAAGAAAAACAGTTTCCATTTTACTCTAACCAGCATAAAATATGGACAAGAATAGATATGGCGTGGATGGATGGGGAAATTGCAAATGAAATAAAACGAATTGAAATTTTACCAAATGAATGGGCTGATCACAACCCAATTCAAATAATTTGGAAAGGCAGGAAAAAAACAAAGAAAAGATGGACATTAAACACTCAATTAATAAGAGAAGAAGAGTAAATTAATAAGCTTAAAGAGGAATTAAAATATTTCCTAAAGGAAAATGATAATGATGCAATCTCAAAACAAAATATCTGGGATACATTGAAGGCAGTTATAAGAGGAATAACAATCTCTTATAATGCCATGAGAAATAAAAGAAAATATGCTCAACAAAATAAATTACAACAAATAATTAAGGAATTAGAAACCCAATTACAAAAAACCCTAAAAATCAAAGAGTACAAAATCAGATAATAACAGCCAAACATAAATTGAACTTAATGGAACAAGAAAAAATGGAAATAAATTTGAAAATGTCTAAGCAAATTTATTTTGAATATGCAAATAAACCAGGAAGATGGCTATCTTATAAACTTTAAAAAAGGAAAAAAAGATTGATATACCAATTAATAGACGAGAAGGGTGACATATAACAAGAAATAGAAAAGAAAAAAGACATCATTCACAAATATTTTGAAAAGTTATATAAAAAAAAGAAGTCAATGAGGATAAAATAAGAAATTACTTAGAGGAAACGAAAGACAAAGTAATTGGAGATGAATTGATAGAATTATTAAACAAAGATATTACATGGTCCGAATTGAAATCAGCAATAGAGAATCATGGGAATAATAAAACCCCAGGGCCAGGTGGGATCCCGGCAGAATTATATAAGGCAATCATGGAACAAATTGGACCACTGATGTTGGAAGTGTTTAATGAGGTATTACTGGTGGCTAAGATGCCAGACTCGTGGAGGGGAGCACTGATTTCACTGATCCCGAAGGAGGAATCCGACCACAGATACATTAACAACTACAGACCAATTTCACTCCTAAACACCGATTATAAAATATTCTCCTCTATTATAGCTAACAGACTAAAACAAGTTTTAAATCCGTACATACATGAAGACCAAAATGGATTTCTCCCAACTAGACAGATAAAGAATAACTTATGAACAGTAATAGATGTTTTAGAATTTTATGAAGCCCACCCTGAGAAACAATCTGCACTTATGTTTTTAGATGCAGAAAAGGCATTCGACAACTTAAATTGGCATTTCTTAATTCAAAAAATTTATAATATGAATTTAGGCACCAAATTTGAAAATATCATAACAACAATTTATGATACACAGCAGGCCAATAACATAATAAATGAGGAACACACAGATCCAATAAAAATAGAAAAAGGAGTCAGACAGGGTTGCCCTCTTTCACCTCTTCTCTCTATATTTGCTTTAGAAACACTCTTAACACGTATTAGGCAAAATCCCGAAATTAAAGGATTGAAGATTAAAACAGAAGAATACAAATTGCAAGCGTTTGCCGATGATATGGTTTTCTTTTTGGAGGAACCAATACAAAAAGGATATAAATTGATAAAAGAACTAGAACAATTCGGTGCAGTAGCAGGACTTAAAATCAATAGAAAAAAAAAAATTAATGACCAAAAATTTAACAGAAGACCAGAAAAAGGAATTAGAGGTAAGTATGGGAATACAGGTAACAAAGAAAGTTAAATATTTAGGAATATGGCTAACATCACATTGTAAGACACTCAAAGAGAATAACTATGACAGATTGTTGCAACAACTAAAGAAAGATTTAGAATCATGGAGTAGGTTGCAGATTTCACTATTGGGCAGGATTGCTTCTATCAAAATGAATATTTTACCAAAATTCTTATACCTATTTCAGATGATTCCAATTAAATTGCATAAATTTTTTTTGAAGAACTTAATAATACTCAAATTCATTTGGCAAGGAAAGAAATCTTGAATTAACGTAAGGGCATTACAGGATTTGAAGAGTAGGGGGGGATTGGCACTTCCAAATTGGGAACTATACTATACGACAGCTGCTTTATTATGGTTAAAAGATTGGGTGAACTTACTTAACAAAAGAATGCTATTATTAGAAGGTCACGACTTGCAGAGAGGTTGGCACGCCTTCTTATGGGAAGTGGGGAAACCCAATCAGTCATATTTTCATAGACACTTAATTAGAGATTCACTATTAACCAATTGGAAAAAAGTACGGAAAAAACACTATTTAAAAGTACTGATTTGGCTATCGACAATGGAGGCAATGATTCACCCAAACAATCTGGACATTACAAAAATGATCAAATATAAAGACTTACTAGATGCACAAGGAAAATTGAAAACACGACAAGAACTACAAGAGCGGGGATTTAAAATAGATCAGTGGGTATATCACCAAATCCATAGTAGATATAAACAAGATAATAAAGATTTCAGAATTAATAAACTCCAGCACTTAGATAAAATTTTACTAGGATCAAATAAAAAAGATATAACTAAATTCTATAACTACCTACTGGAAGTAGAGTTAGAAGAAGAGACAGTCAAAGGGAATATGATAGCTTGGAGCAGGAATGTTGGACGGAGTATCACATTAACAGAATGGGAAAAGATTTGGAACAGAAACAATAAGATCACCAAATCTGCAGCTTATAAAGAAAACGCTTACAAAATGTTTTACAGATGGCACCTTCCTCCTTTGAGGTTAGCAAAGATGCACCCCAACACGAGTCCAAAATGTTGGAAATGTAAAAGTATAGATGGAACCTTTTTTCATATGTGGTGGTCATGTAAGGAAACCCAGAAATACTGGCAAAGAGTTAGAAGGTGGCTAGAAGAGATAACAAAAGAACAGATTGAATATAAACCAGAGTCCTTCCTGTTAGGGATTTTTGACAAACAGCTACCTAAAAAGTGAAATATATAACAATAGATATCTTAACAGCAGCCAGGCTAACGTTTGCTCATTGTTGGAAACTACCTCTCATACCTACAGAACAGATGATCATCCAGAAAATCTTAGACTGTGCAGAAATGGACAAACTATCCTTAGCCCTAAAAAATAGATTCTTCAATATATTATAACAATTGGATCTGCTGGTATAAATGGTTAGCCCAAAGATAGACTCTATATTATAAAGTAAAAAAGAATGGGACAAACTTATATGAGTGTAATCTAAATATAGATATGGATAAGATGTGCGTATATGATATAAATTAAGAAGAGAAAAGATCTTTACTAACTGTCAAAAATGAGAATGTTTTTAAATGTTCATTTTTTCTTTCTCTTTCCTTCTTTCGCTTTTCTTTTCGCGTTTCTTTTTTCCTTTCCTCTTTTCTGCTTTTTCTATTTGTGTATGTGTTGTTGATTTGTTTGTAATTGTAAATTTAATAAAAAAATTTTTTTTAAAAAAGTAGGAGTGGTACTTATTCCTGGGGTTCCATATGAAGGCATGCCTATCCTTCTAATGTCAAAATTATCCTATTTTCTAATTTAATGCAGTCTTTAATACATACTGGAGATGCTTCTTTGTAGTAAGTCTCCCATATTGGGAGTCCAAAGACACCTCTGCTTTTGCTATCCTGTAAGTAAAGGGCTGAGAAGAAAAGGCGTGCAGTCATTGAAAAACACTTTGAAAAGAGT